ATATAACTGGTTATTATTTATAGGTAAAGTTGACACAGGGAATATCCGATTGCCTCTCGGGGGATCAGGAAGGAATTTTTTTTACTTGCAGGAGCAAATTGGATCATGCTTTGCTGTTTTTTTTGCCTTCCTCTGGATCAACTGTGGGTGTAGGATTATAAAACTTTTTTTTTTTTTGTTATGGTTGAACTGGATGGACTTTTGTCTTTTTTCAGCCAGACTAACTGAAAGGATTAAATGGAATATAACTGAATCCATTTTGTATACACTAATACAAGATGCTAGTTTAATATACATATATGAGATATGTACACACTAACAAAACTGTCTATGCCAGCTTCATGTAGAAATGAGTGTTTTTGAAAATTTTACAAAAAAGCAGATAAGGTTTACTCTCATTTCTGAAAGGTTTTAACCACAACTTGGGTGTTGGGTCAGATTACAGCCATGGTCTGGGCGATAGACCAGATATGGCATGATAGATAAAGCAGAAGTGTGAAAATGCAAACCTCATACAAATATTTGTTGAGTTAAGGTAAAAAAAATGTACATGTATTTGATTGGATGGTCTGAGGGTGTGTTTGCCCAAAGACTACAGTATAATAACCCTGATGTTATGCCAATAAAACTGAAGTGTTTGCAATCGCAACTGAGGTGACTTGAGTGCATTCACTTTCCGAGACCTCGTAGCTGTGTCCAGGTGTGACCGTTGGTATCTTGAGGGGGCCCCCATGGAATAAAGGAAAAACACCACCTACCTACTTTCACTAACTACGTAACTATGTAATGCGATTTGCCACTACTGCAGCGTGATTTATTGAGCAACAATAATGGCAGAACTGCACACTGCATTTTCAGGTACCATTAAAATGAATGGCACCTGAACATGCAGCACTATGGTTTGCTATTTTAGCAGAGCGTTTTGAACTTCAAAAAACCCATAATAGAACGACTGGAGACTTCACTTAATTTTCCTCAACAGCCTCACTAATAGTTGTCCCCTCCCACCCCAAGTCCCATAGAAGCTTTGTGGGCTATTGGCTTAGTTTGGCCACTGTAGCCCACCAATCTCAATACTAGTAGCCAGTGGAGAGTGGTCCTGTTAAAGCATTTGGCTGCAAGTCCTTTTGTGCTATAGCCCTTTAAAAAAGGGTTGCAGTTATCTAGATATGAGAATACCACAGCCTGAATTATTCTTGATTGTTTTTCAGAAGCACCTCTATGAATGAATGGGAAAGCACATGTATAATCCGGGGCAGTAATATTTCAGTCAGTGCTATATTGCTGAATTAGGGACAGAAATGTATATGACTTTCTGGGGCCTTTTGATATATGTATAACTACCGCAAAGGTGCTGTCACACTTTAAAATGCTCATCTAACTGAAGAAAAATTACACGTATTCTGAGCAAATATTGTATATAGCATCTCCAGCTAACTCAGAAACAGAAGTGTAAGGTGCATCAACTATGCCCAGAACTGCAGTCTCACATCAGTCAAACTAAAGCTTTGTAAACCATCCCTGTGCCAACCGTAATATACAGGGATTGGAGAAATTAGAAACACTACGTGATTTGCAGGTGTGAAAGTGACAATAGGTTTCCCATGAAGACTGAGATTGAGCTCTGCAGTCTTATTACGAATCACAATCCTGCGCAATGTCTTTTTTGGTCAGTTGACCATGTCGACCGTGCTTATGCTTTTCAGACAACGTTGTCCCGGAAACTGTATATGCCATCATAACCTTTGATACTGTACCATGCGACACAGCAAATAATTTGGCAACTTCAGTCACAGAGGCACAATGCAAAACATGTGGTCAGTTTCACACCTGGAAATCATGCAGTGTTTACATTTTTTTCTCCAACCCCTGTATATTACGGTTGGCACAGGGATGGTTTACAAAGCTGTAGCAAGGCAAGCTTTAGTTTGACTGATGTGAGACTGCAGTTCTGGGCATAGTTGATCCACCTTACACTTCTAGTTCTGTGTTAGCTGGAGAAGTTACATACAATATTTACTCAGAATACGTGTAATTTTTCTTCAGTTAGATGAGCATTTTAAAGTGTGTGACAGCACTACATTTCCCGGGCCTCAAGCGATATGAATTGAACATCCATGATGTAGTGTTTACATTTTTTTGTTTACCCCTGTAGTTTGCACCCAAGAGTGCAGCTGGAAAATATTCTGCACTGAAAAAGCAGTGAATTTATTTAAAACAAGATCAGACAGGTGAATAGGTGATCTCAGGCATAATTTGAAGCTTGTGTTTGTTTAAAATCTGTGGGTCAGCATTAAAATGTGAACAGATATGGATGTTGTAAAACACCAATTGCCCTGTAAAAATTAAGCAAATAGAGTAACAATGTTTACTTACACGCTGATCGGCTGGCAGAACAAGAGCAAAGCACAGTCTCCAGCAAGGACTATATTTTACAACCTGGGGGTGAACATTTAATAGTTTCTAATTACTAACAAAGGAATAGGCCCAGGGCTCAGAAAGCTCCACAAGAATACCAATTAAACTATGATTTAATGACTTTATATAAAAATAAAAAGCAACTGCAAAAAATGTAAAATCAACCTGTGACCTAAGAAAGCTTTTTTAAAAAAACAAAAACTGGAGAAAGTCCACTTAATATACCCTGAAATGGGAGGTACACTTCATTGCCACCTTAAATTTACTGTATGTTAGCAGTCTTGTTCCAATTTATACATGAGCAACTGCTGAAACTTTTATTTATACATGGAAAATGCTGCTGCAGGCTCCCTCCAGTGCTGATCACATTACATAAGCCATGGCATTTGGGTAATATGAACTATGGTAAGAGGTAGAATCAGTGTTCAGAATAGCAGATATTCTACCTCAGTAGAAATCACGTGTCTTAGATGTGCAACTAGTAAAAGAGATTAATAAACAGAGATTAGCTTCTGTGCAAACTGTATTAGGAGAATATTTAGTACATCCAAATGAATCTTCCTCAAAAGCAGGCCACTACCAGACCCAAGACTCTCATACAGAAAAAGAAATTTGGATGGCACCTGAGCTAGAGTGCAAAAACCTGAGACTGGATAGTCAGAAGTTTCTCCTGGGGAAGGAAAACCCAGGCCTGTGAAGTGTTTAGGAACAGCCCCAGATAAGGGATGTGTCAGAGTCAGTGTCAACTTCTGAGGCCTCATTCACACCATATGTGCAGTAAAACTGGAGAAATGAAATGAAATGAAAAAAAATGTGCAGATTTCACTTACAGAGACACAAGACATCAGTTTTCATGCACATCGCAGTATTATACACATTGCAGATTTCTGCACAGAAAAAATTTACACGATACTAATATTGTGGTGCAATCAGGGCACATAGAGAACAATTGTTTTTTTTGTGCCCTTGCAGAACGCGTGCAGAAAAAACTCACTCACCTCTCTGCACCATATTGTGAACAAGGCCTGAAGGTTCAGATTGAATCCAAACCTCTGTAACATCTAGACAGTCACATTGTCTTCTAGAATCCCTCACAGACTACTCCCTAAAGAAAAGGTGGCCAGATAGCTCAATCAGGATAGGGCAAGAGCATAACATGGCCAACACTAGAGTCAGCAACTTGGTGAATGCCCAAGGAGCAGATGACAGCCAAAATGGAAGGTCAACCCACTGACAGTGCTGATGCACCCTTCATCCTTTATGTCCCTGGAGACCAGAAAGCCCCCTTGAGAATCAATAATACATCTTGTTAATTCCACCTAGAATATTTGGATACGAATGTGGGTTCCAGAATGAAGTGAATATGCCTTTTGGGCTTGGGTTCAGTGAAGAGAATTTCAAGAGTACAACCCTTGAAAACATTCCATAGCAGGGGCTGGGGCAATGACTCCTTGTCTCAAGAGCAAAGCATATAAATAAAGGAAATTGGCCAGGCACTGAGGAGACACTGGAATATTGAAGGTGAGAAAAAACGAGAAAGAGGCAGGGAAAAAAACTCGAGCTTGTAACCCTGGGACACATCAAGAAGGGCTTTTTAACGGATATGTCAGAGAGCAAGTGTGACGTGAAAAGGGTGCTTCTGGGACGTAGTAGAGGACTTGTAAGCTTGCTCTTTAGGCTTCATCCACTGGAGAAGGTGGGTACTCTTACCCCCCACAGAATCCTTAATTACAGAATCCAATAGAGACCCATAGAGATGTTGTCCCTCAATGGCCATGCAGAGTATATGCTTCTTGCAAGCGAGTTCTGCGAGTCCAACACATCCAACCCCAGAACCCAGCGCACTGCACTGACAGAAAACCGTAAGTAGGCCAGAATTTCATCTGAGGTAAAACTTTAAACCAAAGACATTTTGTCCATGAGATAAATGATCTGTGAACCAGCAATGTAAGCATTTGTCATATTGTGCTTAAGGGATTTAAGGACTAATATACTTGCGGTTGGGGGTGTTAAACCATGTATATTTTAGACTATGAGAGCTTAAAAATAAAAAAAAAGTTAAAAAATTAATGGCTGGGCCATGATGATGTCACTCCTGCATATGTGCATGGGAGTTACTTTATTGTAGCAGAGCTGTGTCATAAATGTACTGCACGCATGCGCAGCTCAGTATACATTACCAAAGCCAGCCTGGAAGAAGCATTTATGACAGAAGACACCAACAGGATTACTTTTGTCATAAAACCTTGCCTTTCAGAGGTTTTAAAAAAAATTGAGTTCCTCTTTGGCATTCGGTTTCCTTAGGAACTGAAAATGTAATCGGATTGGTTGCTTATTAAAAGAACTTCAGTTCTGTTCCAATAAACAAAGTTTATTTTGCTCATTAATTGACAGCGTTGGATTAACGGAACGATGGCCATAAAATCTCTTTGTACAAGGACACCTAGAACCACTAATTTTATTTTTTTTTTTTTACACATCTACACAGTCTGATAATCACAAGTGATGTTTTCAACCATACAACATTTGCTTTTTTCAACTACCTGGCTCTAGAGGTCTGCCTGATTATAAGAATCTCATACCTTCCAACACACACGCCCATGATGTTCCACTGTCGAACCAAATGTCCAAAACATCCCGTCCAGGCTCAAACTCCAACACTTCAGCACTGCTACCTGCCTGATAAAAGATGTAAAATTAGGATCTTTGATTTACCTGTAAAATCGTTTTCTTGGAGTACATCACAGGATACAGAGGACTTTATATTCGTGACTACTTGGGTTATACTGCCACCTTCAAGAGAATGGACACTGGCCAAAAAATAAGGCAGGAATCCCCACCCAAGCATAGCCCCTCCCAGCTCAGCTAAGCCTTGGTTTTCTAGCAAGCAATGAGGAACAGACAAAACAGGAGGGATCTCTGTGTCCTGTGATGTATTCCAAGAAAAGGATTTTACATGCAAACCAAAATGCCTAATTTATTAAATCTTACATCACAGGACACAGAGGACCTCATATTCATGACTAATTGGGATGTCCCAAAGCACTGCACACGAGGGGTTGGCAACACAGCTAGAAGGCCAATACGTCCAAAACAGAACATGGGGGAAACCTCACTACAAAGCCATCTGCAATAACTTTTGCCCAAAATTGGTGTCCAAAGAGGCATAAACATCAACCTGGTAGAACTTTGCAGTGAACGTGTGAAGAGAAGACCATGTAGCAGCTTTCCAAACTTGAATGACAGAAGTTCAATGCTAAACAGCCCAAGAGGCACTGACACCCCTTGTGAAATGGGCCTTGATCAGGAACCTTTCCTGTAATATCATAGGTCTCAGAAATGAGCTGAATAATCCACCAAAAAGTAGTGTATTGAGAAGCAGCCTGAGAAAAATGGGGAACACACAGAAATCAGACTGTTGAAGCTGTTGACTTCAGATAAATCTGAATAGCTACAAAGTGTTAAGCACCTTCTCCTTCCGATGTTTAGGTTAAGGACAAGAGAAGCCGCATAGGTGGAACAACCCGTGTGACACCCTGTACAAAGACTTTTACCATATAATGTATTGCGAAAGGTCTCTGAAACAGAGCAGTCAAGGCTAAGATCTGATCCTTAATGGTACGCAAAGTCAGAGACATCTCCACACCAGACTGAAGTAAAGCCAAAATAAGAGCCACAATACTGTTGAAATACTAGCCTCATACCTGGTGAAAAAGGTTTCCCTTGTATGGTGCTACACTTTTCTGGAGGTCAATTACCTACAGTCAGAAACACCCCATCACTCAGGACTTTGGCTTTAACAGCCATGCTGTCAAAGCCAATGACTACTATAAAGCACAATGGCAGATCAGACTATGCTACAGCAATTAATAAAGGTGAATAAAGCACCTGGACCGGATGGCATACACCCACGGGTCCATAAAGAATTAAGCTCTGTCATTTCAAAGCCATTTTTTCTAATTTTTAGGGACACTTTAATGGCTGGCATAGTACCACTGGATTGGCACAAGGCCAATGTGGTGCCAATATTTAAAAAGGGGTCAAAATTTTTACCAAGTAATTATAGACCTAATAGCTTAACTTCTGTAGTTGGGAAGATACTGGAGAGTTTAATAAAAAGACATCGATGAGTTCTTGCTGAAAAAAAATATTTTAAGTAACAGACAGCATGGATTCATGAAAGACAGAATTTGTCAAACAAATCCGATTTGTTTTTATGAGGAGGTGAGCAAAACCTTGGACAGAGGGGTGGCGGTGGACAGAATATACTTGGATTTTGCAAAAGCATTTGACACAGTTCCCCACACACGACTAATGTGTAAGGTAAAGTCTACAGGCTTGGAAAAAAACATATGTAAATGGATAGAAAACTGGCTAAAAGACCGAATTCAGAGAGTAGTGGTTAATGATTCACACTCTGAATGGTCTAGGGTCACCAGTGGTGTACCCAAGGTTCAGTGTTGGGACCCTTACTTTTTAATATATTTATAAATGATATAGGGTCTGGGATTAAAAATACAATTTCCGTCTTTGCAGATAACACCAAGCTGTGCAGTGGAATAACGTCCTTACAGGATGTCGCCAACTTACAAGCCCACCTCAATGCACTGTTTAGATCACAAGCTTAATAATGGCATGCAATGCCAAGCTGCGGTTTCTAAAGCAAGCAAAATCCTCTCTGGTATTAAAAGAGGAGAGGGAGAGAGGGGGAGAGAGGGAGAGAGAGAGAGAGAGAGAGAGAGAGAGAGAGAGAGAGAGATAGATATTTTACCCCGCTACAAATCATTAGTAAGACCTCATCTGGAATATGCAGTTCAGTTTTGGGCACCAATTCACAAAAAGAACATTGGGGAACTTGAGTAAGAACAAAGAAGGGCAACCAAACTGATAGAGGCATGGAGGAACTCAGCTAAGAGGAAAGATTAGAGGAACTGAATATATTCTCTCTTGAGAAGAGGAGATTAAGGGGGGATATGATCAACATGTATAAATACATCAGTGGTTCATACAGTGAACTCAGTGTTGAGTTATTCACCCTGAGGTCATCACAGAGGACAAGGGGGCACCCTTTACGTCTGGAGGAAAAGAAATTTAATCTCCAAACATGGAAAGGTTTCTTCACAGTGAGAGCTGTGAAAATGTGGAATAGATTCCCTCAAGAGTTGGCTCTTTGGATTGCTTTAAAAAAGGCTTGGATTCTTTCTTGGATGCACAGAATATAACTGGATACTAACATTTATAGGTAAAGTTGATCCAGAAAATATCCTATTGCCTCTCGGGGAATCAGAAATAATTTTTTCCCCTGTAGGAGCAAATTGGATCATGCTTTGCTGGATTTTTGCGTTCCTCTGGATCAATTGTTGGTGTAGGATTATAACTTCTTTTTTTTTGTTATGGTTGAACTGGATGGGCTTTTGTCTTTTTTCAGCCAGATGTAAATCTGGCAGATTTGGAATAGTCCACATTTCATCTACCTAGAGCGGCACAATATCTACATACAGCATTCTTCTTAGCCAAGCAGGTGCTATCAGAAACATCAGAATGCCTTCTACCTTTTTCCTGTGCAACAGGAGAGAAATAAACTGCAGTGGAGGGAAGGAATCAATCAAGGAAAACTGATACAAAGACATCACCAGGACATCTGCTGCAAACACCTGAGGATCCCTAAGTTTGGGACACAGCCCTGTCCAGTTTGTTAGCGAATCTGGATGTCAAAATATCCACATCTGATGTCCCTCCACCGCAGACAAAATTCTGAGAACCCCCTCCAGGTGTGCTGACGTTCACCTACCAATTTTCCATGGTGGAACTATGCAAGGTGGAGAGGGGCGGAACAAGAGGTTCTGACCAAGACAAGATCAGGTCTGCTTCTTCCTGAATCCTGTGACTTCTTTACCCTCCTTGATGGCTGATGTATGCCACAGCCGTGGCATTGCCTGACTACACCCTGACTGGGAGACCCAAATAGTAGGCAGACCAGTGTAAGAGTAAGATTAAGAATGTGCTTTTCCCCACATTTACCTTTAAAGTCATTCAAGGATGGTCTGCTTTTTGCAGAGATGTTCTGCTGACCAACACTTGAGTCATAAGATCCTTCTTATGTTGACAGACACAGTGCCTAACCATGAAAGATGCCGCATGGGATCTTCCAAGGCATCCACTAAGAAATTCAATACTGCATACTGCATAGCAACTCTTACCAGAGAGCATGCCTTAAAGACGGCCTCTAATCTCTTGTCAATTGTGAATTTAAAGCTTAAGTATAGTCAAAATAAAACATAAAAATCAGCACAAGAGACATGACATAATATTAATGCTCTGTGTTCCTTGTCCTGATGGCTCCTGATTTCCTTGAAATTTACCTCCATCAATCCTCTACCACCCTACCCCACCCCCATCACTGCCAGGGTTAATAGAACTGAGGATGCTGTCATTTGTACTCATCAAGAGTGCTCAACAATGCCTGCCAATTCTCCCCAGCTCCTCCATTCACAGAAGTCAGTACTACAGCTTCTATAAATGAAACAAGATCTATAAATAGAAGGGTCAGACCTTTCAGTCATCCACCCATCCTTCATTCAAGGATTACATTTCATTCACCAGTTCAAGCTGCAGGGCTTTCAGGGACTCCGGGGATCACTGCCATGAATCAGCAGAGCGCAATGCCAGTGAGGCCACCTGGTAAAATTACCGTGAAGGTCACTGCCCACAAGATCAAGTGTTGACCTCCACACACTTGCAAGCGGGGTCCGGGTAGATTCCATATTGAACTACTGGCTGTAGCAACCGATCCAGATGAAGCCCTCCACTGACCCAATAGGTGTGTTTGGAACAGGCCAGAAAGCATGGAACTAAAGCCCACGAAAGGAGATCTTCAGTGAGACAACTGCATGATCATCAATTACCTAAGGACACTAGCTAGAAACTGAGGCTTAGCTGGGATGGGAGGTGTTATGCCTCAGTGGAGATTCCTGACTTTTTTTGGCCAGTGTCCATTCACCTGAAAGTGGCAGCAACCCATGTAGTCATGAATATGAAGTTATTTGCGTCCTGTAATGTACAATTAAGAAGTATAAAATAGGCACTCTGTTACAAGCAAACTACTGAAACCACCCTGAAACACTGCTTTCAGATGTTTTCTCACATAGGATACCCAGTGGCCTCTCTTATCAGGTACCTATTCAGTACTCAGTAGAATACCATTTTGCTTAAAGAAAAGCTTGAATTGGTTTGCAGCTTAGATTTAAGAAGCTGAAGTGTTAATGGGTTTTGGTTCATAACGACTTGGCTTCATACTGCTCTGGTCTCTCTTGGCCACAAAACTGGTTTCACTTCAGTAAGTATATATTTGGAAGTATAGTGGAAAATTTAAACACCCACTGAATTCCTATAACCTTACACGTTTTCAGGGTTTACACAAAATAAAGTTTCAGTCCACAACTTTCAAACTGAAAAAACACAATCATTTTCTTTTCAAAGCTAAATTCACCTTGGGAACATGTTACATCCATATTTAGGGTGGAACGTGTAACATGTTCCAGCTTCTGCCTCCTCTCCACATGATGTCCCTACTCCCTGTGACAGCAGGCAGTGGATCTTCTCCCTGCGCCCACTGTCACAATTTGAAAAGAGTTCTGTGAATGAAAGAACTACTCGGCCACTCTCAATGAACTGTGAGAGCGCTGGTGAGCACTCTCACAGTTCATTGATTCTTCCTGCAATTCAGTAACTGCCTGCCCATAAGGGAAGTATGGGCAGACAGTGTATGGAGAGTCTGCAAAAGCCTGTCATTGCACCCGCAATCTGTTAATCGCAGGTGCAATGCTTTGCAGGCTTCAATGTAAAAAAAATAAATGCACATTTATTTACCTGTAAAAAATGTACAGATTCTATTTCATTGCAGCACATTTATTAACAAAATAAATTGTGGTATAGTAAGTTGGCAAGTTACAAAAAAAAAACCCCCACCCCCATGTAACTTATCTGTCAATTAACAGCCAGGCACAACAAAGTTGGTACTTGCTGAGGTTTACTGAGTGCTCCTTTACCCTGCCAGTGAGGGTACCTGTTTAAGTATGGCTTTTGGAAGTAATTCTTCTATAGGGTGTGTCCACCATACATCACTACCATGCTGCTTCACCAGTTTCACGATATGCCCAATGCTGTGCCTAGAAGGGAACAAAAGAGAGAGCACCTTGAAGTACAAGAGACGAGGTATGTCACTTATACCACTTATTGCCGCATTTTAAAATCATTACTTCTATTAGTATCAATAGTATTTCCTACATAAAGCTGAGAAACATTTATAGCAATTATTTACAGTAAATTTGAAGCCAAAACTTTTTTTTTTTTTAGTTTTTCATAAAACAGGGAAGGAGTAGAGCACCTTTTAATCTGCCCTCATTTCCCCTCTGAAAGATTCAAAAAGTGATGCAGGATATAAAAAAAAAAAAAAATACTAAAAATGACTTTTACAATTAAATTTTTTAGATTATATGACATTTTAGTGATTGGGTTTAGATCTACAGAAGGTTAAGATGGTCTGCCTGTATGATGGAAATATGACTGGAGAAATGGTAGTAGTATATGTGCATACCAAAAAAGTCAGCACTAATTTGTGTTTCATTTTTGCTTAATGTGGGGATGCAATAGTTACAAGCCAAATATATATATCCAGCAATTATTACACAGAGAATAATCATCTGGGTATGTGTTCTGGTTCCTTTATAAACTCTCAAAAAGAGACAGGACACAATTGCCTATATGGTTCCTGTAATTATTTTTGGTTCCTTGCTCCCAAAAAGCAGAATGGATATCACACATCGAAAAAAACCCTCAGTACTATCATGATTTCAGCACACTTCTGTCAGTTTAAACTAGTCAAGTAATTACAAGGTCAGTTTATTCTTGTGAACACCATCTAGTCATCAAAGGGACAAACTTCACCTTTGGAAGACCAAGGAACAAAGGCAGATCAATACAGATAGCGCAGAATAAACATAATATAATATGCCCAGGCAATGATTGTCTCTACACTGATAAACTGCAGAGGGGAAAGGGTAACCAGTAATGAGATCATTCTGAGGACAAGGCAATGAGAAAGACACAGAGCCAACTGTGGAGTCGGCAATCTCTTGACAAAACTAAGTGAATTATCAAGGAGCAGAATGAACCAGGCAGCACTTCTAACTTATTTGAAAGTCATTTGCAACAAACGTGTGAGTCCAACCCTGAGTCTGGTATTTGGAGTACAGAGTGCAGCACTGGAGCATACTTCTGCAGCAAATATATTACTATGGCAAGACATGCATTCTTAAAAAAGATATTCACTCTGGCAACAAAAAATTAAAACAAAAAATTTTAAATATAGTTACTGCTGACTTTAGAAAACACACACTTACCTGCCCAAGAATCCAGCGCTGTCCTCACCTGGACCAGTTCTTCGCCTTGTGGCTTAACAGCTAGCCCCTTACTGTGCATGCATGAACTGCGCTGGGCCCTACTAATGGTTCCACAGCCTCTTGGGACCTGTGACGTGTCCCAAGAGGCTGTGGGAACAGGGGACCAAATTGCCCCACCGATGGCCTAGGCGGTTGGAGAGGATGTGGGAACACCTCAAAACTAGTCACCCGCTTCCCATTAAAAAAAAAATAAATAAATAAATAAATATATATATATATATATATATATATATATATATATATATATATATATATATATATATATATATATATATATATATACTTTGTCAGGGACCAACCAAATTTTGATAAATGTGTGGCCAACCCTATTGTTGAATGAACAAATCTGAGAACTTTTGTTGATCAGCGGCTGCAGCCAATCAGATGCAACTACTGATCTGTGTATTCTGAGTCCCGCTATCAAAATACAGTGCCTAGAGGGGAGGGATTCATTCATCCATCTTGTTTGTGTGGAGAAATCGTTTTTTTTTCATTATTATTATTCAGCATGCTGGCTGGATGAAAAAAAAACACCCAAAAAACTATTCATTATCTATGGCCTGCTTTAGGAGTTCTATTTTTCTGCTTTGCGAACTGAATAAGAGAAATCAATCAATTTCCCTATCCACATTAAACAGTGCAGATGGAAGAACCTCCCTTGCTGGCTATTTTATTGTGACAGTTGCTGCTCCTGCATCTGTTAGAATACCTGTATGGTAGCTGCATCTGATTAACCGCAGTCACTGCTTGGCAGAGTTTCCTGCCCAGAAAAGTATGGGTCACAATATAGTCATAAATATATGGGTCACAAGGTGTTCCCAGTACACACACCCAGGCCCAGCAGAAGGGGTTGGTGTAAACGGGCTTCTAGTGATTTCGTTTATATATACTTTCACAAGCTTATATAACCATTTTCATACTTGACACTTGCCTTGCTTATTTAATAAAAAATGAAATCTGTAATATTTGGCTGGGTTTTCTGCTAATAATTCAGGTCCCCATAGACAGCCAAACTGGCTCCACAAAAGTAGAATTAAAAATCGCCTGAAACTGGTGGAAAACTATTGACTGAGCAGTGCATCCTTTTCCTGCAGCTGCCTGAACACAATAGCCAGCAGTGGAGATTCCTCCATCCACACTGTAAGAGTGGAAGAGGGAATTAATTCCATGAAAAAAACGAGTCATGTATGACGGCCTTCAACAGTCAGAGGGTAACCAAAAACATCCCCAGACTTCTGGAGGCAGCTTAGATATAGTGGTAGGCAACAATGGGGCGCTTGCAAACAAATATTTTAAAGGGGCAAATACTGTAATAAAAGTTAATAGAGACTCATTGGAAATACTAGCTGTAGTTGTCCTTCTCTTGTCATAAGACATCATTGTGCACTCTTTGTGCTCCATTCAGATCATGTATCTGCATTATCCATTAACTGAACTACCCTTTCCTACCATAAAACTAACCCGTTGCATGCAAATGCTCATTCCCTTCACTGATATCGCATAGTCTCTGAAACCATAATGCAATTCAGAGCACAAATAACTGACAAATATTTGCTAAACTTTTAATCATTAACCATGATTACTGGCCAGATTTAATTGTCCGGCACTTAAAATAAAAAAAAAAATTGGCGGAAATCATATAAAATTAAAGTGACTTTGCCAGAATAAAAGCACAGAAAGTGCAAGCAATATGAGGAGTGGTGTCATACGTGGGCAGACACAAAAATAACTCTGCATTCTTGCACTTTTACACCATTCTGTGAGTGCACAAACAGGTTCATGTTCACAAACCAAGCTAACGCCCTTTGTATAAAACGTCTTAAACCTGGCAAGAACAAATCAAACCCCATAACAACTTAATTCACCAGATCTGACTACAGGAAGAAGGGATAACAAGCTATTAACTTTCTGTTGTGCTCTCATCTTTTCAGACCAGCAACTAAAGCCAGCTAAACACGGATCGAAATTTGGCTGCTTCAGCAGGAACTGTCCGAATTTCGATCCTTCTTACTGGCAGGCTGGTTGTCCATTGATCAACTTCAGCACAACCAGCCTATGGAGTCTTGTTTCACATGATCACTGCTGGCAGTTATAGCCACCATCATTGTATTCTGTCACACAGAAATGCTCCCCACCAGCAGAACACAATAGCACTATGGGTGGGATTCCCCTATCTACACTGATTGTGTTGATGGGGGAATCAAGATATTTCTTTCCTTCAACCTGTGGTTAAAGGAAAGGAAACTGCATAATGTATGGCCTGTCTTACAAGCAGTCTACTGCCCAATGCCCTTTAAAAACTGTGCTCAGCAAATATTGCAGACAGGTAGCGCAGCTTACATCAGAGAAATCTAACAAACTCGCATGGCTGCAGTGTTTTTCTCCACTGAAAACAACCTTTCAATTTTTTTGTAATAAGGCTACTTAACCATTAAAAAAAACTTAGTGCTTCTTTCATAACCCTCCTCATGGCTATCATTTAGAGGCCACTTACACTTTCCTGATCCTACGTGTTGAGCTAATGCACGTGCATTTTGTCACGTTAATACTTTATCCTATTTTTGGCCATCATTTAGGGCTCCATTTACACTTCTGTCATGTGCTGTGTTAACACACACATGTTGTGCCATGCATTAACTTGTGTTGAGTTCAAGCCACCTTTCCCTTTTTAATGGGCTGCCAATGGAACAGAATGGGCTGCACAGGAACAAACCAAAAAATGAACATGCTGCATTTTTCCGACGCAGAACCCACAACTCATGGTAATGTGTTACCAGGCATTGTAGTGCACTTGAATGCGTGTGTTGGTTCTGCATTGCCTTAAAGCATTGAGGTGCCATTCTAAATTAATAGCACCAATATGCACCAACATACATAACGTGTTGTGTTAACACGCACGTTACTGTAATGCACCCAATCACAAAGGTGTTTTTAGTCCCTAAAGCTCAACATTAAAAAAATGTATTGGGAAAGGGTTAAAATATCTACAAGGTTTTTTAATGCTGTCTGTGTGCCCTCACTTTAACCACAATTCCTGCCCTGGTGACAGGCTGTGACAAGTACAGTGGTACTATCTCTCTCTAATGGGAAAACAAAATTGCAATCAAAGTACATGATAAAAAAATACTATGGGAGGGGTAAGAGAATTTATTTAGAATTCAAGTTTCTCTGTGTCTTTCGGTCCTGGGGATAAGCTCATCCTCCCATTTCTTGTACTGGTGTTAATAGGACAGGAGCAAAGGACAACCTCCCCAATGAAGACACTGAATGGAATAAAAATTTAAAGAAGTTCTAAGAGTCTCTGTTGATGGGCTTCTGTTCGTATACAATGGGTTTTGCATTCTCATAAATGTCTTTAGCAGGGGCGGACTGACCATTTGGAAACTCGGGCACTGCCCGAGGGCCCGGGGTCAGTAGGGGGCCCCATGAGATGCCCCTGGTACCTTTTTCATAGGCTTTTTTGAGTGTGGGCAAGGACACAGGGGCCCCATGATCCCCTTTTGCCCGGGGGCCCCATGAGTTGTCAGTCCGCCCCTGGTCTTTAGGAATGCAAAGCCCACCTGAAGCCATTCTAAAGCAAGTTAGAAGGAAGTCCACAGCAGGTCAAATGTGTCTGTCAATGAATTCTTACTGACCTCTGAAGAGACTGAAACTGATGTCATCAATGCAAGCCCAAAGGCTACGACAGAGGCCCTAGCTCTTACCCA